ATGCTTGCTTACAAATGCATTACAGTTATATTACATTTCATTTTCATTTAGATTGCAGCTGTTCTACTTTTTATTCCTGTAGCACCTTGGCAGTACTACCTTTATATATAAGGATGATAATTTGGGTGTTTTACTATACTACACAACGCAAAGACAAATACCTCAAAACTCACAAGTCACCTTTATGTCACATTGTAATACCATGATATAATAAAGGTATATCAAAATCAAAATATACAAATATCGAAGTCAGTTTCAGTTACAATAAATAGAATATCTTCTAAGTAAAAAAAAAAAATGCGTCCAAATAAATATTTAAACTGCAGGGTTTTCATTCTGATTAAGTTCCAAAAAAAACCCCCAAAAAACTAACACAGCACCACCCATCGCTTTGCCTTGTACGAAGACAGCTTTAGCTGCCACGCTTGCCTCATGTATGCATATCGCTTTGAAATAGAAATAACATGCTTTGCTTTGTGTACGCGATGTATACGATAATATCTACTTGTGTTTGTAATTTGATTCATTTTGTACTTTTAAAAGGTTCTTTTATATTTGATCACATTTACTGTTCATGAAATGATCTGGACAAGGTTTTGTGTTAAAGTTTGAGGATGTTTAGAGAGCAGATAGTTATCACTGACAGACTTGAGTTAGTTTGCTGATTCATTATAACCTCATCACCTTGTCACTGGATGACCTCCTTTCATCAGTACAAATCATCTCATCTCTGAGAGGATTTCCACAAAAGAGCTGTGTGACTCTTTTGTGACTCGTGACTCATTAAGTGTGCTGTTGATATGACAAAAATAAAGCCATTTGCCATGATCAAAGTCCAGTGTGCTGGGTTTTATTGCTTACCAGTGATTAATTTATCATCACTATGATTCTGAGAAATGGACACATAACAGTGGAAGTGCAGCAGCACGAGTTTTATCCTAGCACATCTCTGGAAACTTTTTCAAAGGTCATCAAATGTAAAGATCAAAACATCTCATACACTCATCCAAGCATCATAAATAACGTGCAAAAGGCTATAGCTTGTCCAAACCTTTAATTTCATGTGTCAAAATCAAGTTTTGGTGCCAAAATTGTCACGGCTAGGCAGCAGTCGTGTGGTGGAATGAAAGAGGACCCAAGATGCAGATGGCAGTGGAGATGCAGGTGGAGATTTATTTAAGGTGAATACCCCAGGTGGGACCCCTAGTGCTTCAACTCCT